CTTTAACTTCTCAGATTTTATAGTCACACAGAATCGCGCTCTATTAATAGGGGCGCTCGACCCTAACGGGCCGATTTTTCAAATATTTAGAATCAAATAAAATTATCAAAAAATTATGAAAGAAACTCGTGATTACATATTAGAATATTAACAAAATTTTGTAAATCGAAAAGATTTATTCAAGATAAAATATAATATTAATCCCTAAAATCATAAAGTTTTTTTTAACAAATAATCGATTTGAATTTACAAAATTTTTTATTAGAGCAACTAATTGATTTAAATTTAATAATGAATTGATATAAATTTTTTTTTACAAATAATTGAGTTGATTTTAATAAATGAATAAATGTAGACTTATTTTTACAAATAATTATTTCTTTTTATTAAAAATAAAAAAAATGATTTAAAATTAAGAAAAATAAAGTAAGCAACGTAATGAAGAAAAAAAAAGAAATTTAATATTTTTAAATTTTATTTATACGTTTAAAATATATAATATTATTATCATAATCGCAGTCAGATTGACGATTGAATTTTTTAGTCATTGGTAAATTATTTTTCTAAAAAAAATTTCTTTAATATAACTTTATTATTTTCAAGAAATACTGTATTTCAAAACATTTTATATTTGCTATAAATTACTACTTATTGAAGTATGGATAACTTATGACTTTATAAAAAATCCATCGAGGGAAAACATATATTAAGCTTGATCATCCGTATAATCAAAGCAATCAACTGTTCATCAAGTGATAGCGAGTTTTTTTTAAGCGACTCTTTTCATTTAACAAAAGATCAACATATTTGTTTTTCTGTATAATAATGATACAAAAAGCAATACTACCCGACGGCAGTTGAGTTTAGAAGCTCGAGTTAAGTTTTGCACAAAAAACTGATATGTGCTTTTGTGGTAAAAATCTATTATAGACAAGTACAACATTTGTGCACAATAGCCCGATATGTTACAATCGCGCATCATATACAGTATATAGTCGCGTCTAAATAGGAATATGTAACCAATATAATTCATGTAGTAATTAATGGGTATACCTGATTTGCCGAAAACTTAATTTATTAGTTGAAGCATTATACTGTTATCAAAAAAATAGTTTCATGAAGTACGCAGTAAACAGTGTGCCATTCACAATAAACTGTTTTTACACTCACATATTAAGAGAGTCAGACTGAAAAATGATAATATTTATTGAATAAATTTTTAAATGGCGGGAGGGCATCAGCTCTTTGATTGATTTTTCAATGCAGGTGGTTCTTCCTTTTTAACGGGCTTATTAGTTTCCTCTTCAGAGAAAGTATCTGCAGAGATAATTTCATTGGAGGCTAATTATGTGTGCAACATAAAGGATGGTTGTAGAACTAAAAAGAATTTGCAGCTCAGAATGCGTAAATTTGTTTCAGTTTCTATTTTTATATTGTATTGTACGACCACTGCAATATTTATACAGTAATTGCTGTATTCTTCTTTTAAAACACTAAAAAAAATACATTATTAAAAAGCATGACGGAAAAAAGAGTAATTCTTTTAGTTGGGAAAACGGGTAATGGTAAATCTACCATAGCCAACGTTTTAACCAATACCAAAGATTTTAAAGAGTTCAGTGGTTCTCAAAGTGGGACTAAGAAAATTCGGGTGGGAAAATTTCAGCATGAAGAAATTGAATATACTGTAATTGATACTCCTGGAATCAACGATACTAATCCTGAAAATGAAAAGAACATATATATGGAAATAGTTGAAGCTGTTTATAGTTTTAAAGATGGTATAAACCAAGTCCTCTTTGTTACTAAAGGTAGATTGACGAAGGAAGAGAAAAATTGTTATAATCTACTCTTTGAGGCTTTTTTCGACGAAGAGAAAATTCCTAATTTTATTACTATTGTCCGAACAAATTTTGGAAACTATGTAGATGAAGTTGAACGCGAAAATGATATTAATGAAATGAAAGATCAAGGCAACGAAATTTCGAATTTAATCAAATTTCGTGAAGGAAAAAATGTTATTCACATTGATAATCATCCTAGGCATCAGGAAGATCGTGATGATTCCAGAAATGTGTTATTAAAACATTTGAAAGAATGCAATGAGATTTATCGACATGAAATTCCTTCATCGGTTGAAAAGGATAAAAGAGTCGAAGAAACAAAAATAGTGAAAGACGAAATTATTGAGATACTTAGTCTCAAAAAGAACGCTAATGGGGCTATCAAATTTGGAGATAGAATGAAGAGTGCAGGAAAAAAAATTTATAGTCGTGGATTATCAATAGAATCGATTATGACTGCGGGATTCATTGTTCCGGCTGTTGGATTCCAGGCATATGTATTAGGTTATACAATTGAATCTGTTGGCGGATTGGTTCATCAATCTAGTTTAAATAGTAGGCGCAAGAAAGTTGTGGAAAGGGTCGAGACATGTTTAAGTAAGTCAAATGCTTTATTAGAAAAATTAAAAGAATGCGAAGAAAATTCTGATAAATTAGATGAAGTTCTTGAAGAATGTATTGATGAGTTAATTGAGGAGCGAAAGTTTCATGTTGTTGGATTGGAGATAGAAGAAATGTTTCAGAAAAAATCGAAAGAAGAGCCACTAAACATTAGCTAAAGGTAGCAATAGATTTAAACTTCAAACCTTTCTTTTTTCTATAGATTATAATTTATAATTATCTAAGCTATTGTAGTCAATTAATTATAATTAAACAATAAAAGAACACTTAGTGTATAGTAATTCTCTGATTTCAATCCTTATACGTATGCTTTTTATCGGCGATAAAAATTTATCGACACCGATAGAGTATTGATTAGATTATACAAATGTATGATATCAATCACAAAGTCGGCTTTAAAAATTTTCCTGAAAAAACTTTTCTTCACAACTAAAATTATTTAATTATCGTATTAAAATAATGAAAGTTCTCAGCATAAACTACGTAAGAAAGCAACACAATAATATTTTTATAACATCTATTTGGATTGATACAATAGAATTAACCCTTGGGACACGGTGAGATAACAAAGAAACGTCTTAGCACAATCTAGTGTAGTGGGGAAAATGAGGTGCAGATACGCAACACGTTACATTATCCAGTGTCTTGGTGGAGGGAATTGAGTACAATTGACGTATAGGAAACAGAATATAAATAAGATTTACTAAGTTTTACATTAGAACAATTAATAAAGAACACGTAAACCCGCTGATTTATTTTACCTTTAATAATATTATCTGTAAGCTTAAAGAGCACGACTATATATAGAGCTAATTGTAAGCTAAGCAGTGGAGTATTTAGCAGAAAGAAATTTTTCGAGATTAGTTCAAGAAAAAGTGACAAGTATGAGTATAATCTGCTAATTTAAATTTGCACCTTAGTAGGCAAGGCTTTAAACGTTTATATTCAGCAATTAAATGACCTATACTACGCGAAAATCAATCCAGTGTAGCGACAGGCTTGTTGATCACAAAAACGCAATGAGATCTATAGAATCTTTTGCCAGTGTTTCCATATGTAATTTAATATATCTCTGTTTAAAGCATGATCTCGTTCAATCCTAAAACAAGTCAAAATAAAATAGGTTTTGATACCAACATATACGTTTTCTACATGCAAAAAAAAATTGTTACGATTAAGATATAAAAATTATGAACGATGCCCTCCGCTCAAATCACGCTTAATAAAGAGACCAAGTGCCGTTTTCCATTTGAGACTACCTACGATATTTCTTATTAAAAAACCATTATATATTAAATGTTTACGAGGATTAAGGTAAAAAAAACTTTTTTTTCAAAACTACTGTAAATGGGTTTTGTCATGAATATATAATATATTCCATTGGTAGATGATTATTATTTTATATAATAATCTGTAGTTGATACATGTGTGACATAAAGCCTCCAAGAGAATTATCCCAACAATTTTTATGAATGACTGAGCTCTCCGATTACAGTATAGACGTTCAACCGTGCTTCTTTCTTCTGCAAGAGAATTAGAATGGGCTGGTCAAATGAAGAACATTCGATGTGATGAAGTTAATGAAAAATTACACGATTCTCATTATGGTCTACGTAATAACACATTTTACTTAATTATAAATTAGTTAATACAATAGTTTTGAAAAAATTTCATCCTTCCTATTACTCATAATGGTTTTCTTTTTCTTGATACATCCTTTCTATCGCCAACCTAATCACCAGGGATTTCCGTTCCTTGACTAAAACATCAATGCATTCTTCGAAAAGATCGTCCAACCTTTTGTTATCTCCTTCACAATTTTTTAGTTCTTCTAATAAAGACCTTGACTCATTTAAAAATTTTCCGACTCTTTCCACGGTTTTCTTACATTTGCTATTTAAACTAAAATGAAGAATCAATTTTCCAACAGATTCGATTACAAATCCTAATACCTCTACGTAAAATCCAATAACTGCAATTATCTGTTTATCCTCTGAGCCTGTATTTCCTTCTTTTTTCATCATTTCTCCCGCAATTTTAATTTTTTCTCCAATTTCCAAGGCATTGTTGATTTTTCCTTTGAGACTAAGTATTTCGAATATTTCATTTTCCGCCTCTTCTATTTCTTGGACTCTTTTCCCAACCGAATAGGGAGTTACATGCTGATATATTTCTTTACACTCTTTCAAATAATTTAATAAAATAGTTCTAGATTTATCGCGATCTTTTTGATGCCTAGGGTGGTTATCTACATGAATAACATTATTTCTACGAATTTTAATTAAATCTGAAATTTCACCACCCTGGCTTTCCATCTCATCAATATCATTTTTACATGCCTCTTCATTCCCAAAGTCCCCAAAATTAGTTCTAACAATAGTCATAAACTCGGGAATCTTTTCTTCATCAAAAAAAGCCTCGGAAAGTAGGGTATAACTACTTATTTCTTCTGCTGTCAATCTGCCCCTGGTAACAAAAAAAACTTGATTCAAGCCATCTCTAAAACTATAAACAGCATCAACTATTTCCTTATATACATTAATTTCATTTCCAGAACGAGTGTCGTTGATTCCAGGAGTATCAATTATGGTGTACTCGATTTCTTCATGCTGAAATTTCCCAACCATATATTCCCTAGTCCCACTTTGAGAACCATTAAACACAGGAAAATTTTCGGTATTAGTTAAAACATTGGCCATGGTAGATTTACCATTACCAGTTTTCCCAACTAAAAGAATTACTCTTTTTTCCATATTATTTTTTAATTGTGTCGACGTTTAAATAGGAGAAAGGAGTTAGGGTCAACTCTCGATAAAAGCTGTGTACAATAGTTTATATATGTTGATGATCGAAGCATTAATTAAAAGTAGTTACGATCATCAAAATTTCCGGGTCAATAAAAGAAAATATGGTACACAGGGTTTTCGAAAAAAATCCGAAATTTTTTTTTAAATTTACTACATATTAAACTCTTATTTTATAATTATATCTACTTTTGCGTATTAAGAATCTATAATATAAACAACCAAATCTATATACAGTGAAAGTTTTGTTGATTTCCAACATTTTATTATTAACATTTACAGCTTGCAATGATTTTTTAAAATTTTAATGTTCTTATTATTTATATAACTAGTGTTTTAAGAAACAATTTATAATTAAACAATCTTGTTTGTTATATTTTAAATCACTTATGCATTAAATTTTATAAATTTCTATTAAATATTTAAAAACCTATTTAATAAATAAATTGCTACTAACAAAAAGTTAAATATCAAAGTTATTACAGTATAATTAATTTATATTGTAAACGTTTTTTATTTTATTAGAATCTTCCTATTTAATTGTATGATTTACTACAACAAATATAAGTTTTGTTATGCATGGCAAGAGGATCAGCAAAAAGAGCTTCGAAATTAGTATTAATTTTTTTATAAGTTTTAAAAAACATAGTTATTACCATAATTATTGTCTAAAAGTAAACTGGAATTAATTAAGCTTTAAGAGAATTATTAAACTTGAAAAGATGAATAAAAGAAATTAATATAATAATACAAATTACATTTGTTATTATGTTTTTATAAATTATAACTATAATTACTTTCCATTTTTTTTGAGTAGGTAAATACTATTTCTTTATTTTTTTTATATATTACAAAATATATATTTAGAAAGAAACAACATCTCTTATATGCTAATTGCAATAAGTTAAATGTTAGCTTGCCTATAGTAATTATTTATCTTTTACTAAAAAAGAAATTTTAAAATTAGTATATTAATTAAATAATACTAAACATCTATAAATACCTACTTAGAATTATTTTGAGAAATAATATTATAAAGTTAAAAATAAAATTAAATATATGATGCAAAAATGAAATTGCTTTAGATTAGTTTTTTTGTAACTAATATAGAAATATCAATTACTATATTTTTGGAAAAAAAGTTAAGCTAATATTGTAATAAAGAGAAGTGTTGGTTTTTGATATATTAATGTTGTAATTATTGTTATTGCTATTGTTTTTATTATTTTTTCCTTTAATATTTTGTTTTACTTAATACTAGTGGATAATAAAATGTTTGTTATACTGTAGTAAAGTTTTCATATGAGATTATAAAACAATATAAGAACTTCAATAAATGCTCTAATCCAGTTATAAATATTGACTATTAAGAATATATTAATGAGAATTTCACAAGCTAATTCTATTACTTGTTATATATTGGAGATTAGATAATTATCATCATTTGGATAAAGTATTAAATTTATTAAATTTATAATCTGCTTGGTTTTTTTTTTGCTTTATGACAATTAAAGATGTGAAAAATATTTTTTAATTAGAAACTGTATTGCAACAGTATAATTATTATAATATTTAGAGTATAGATTGTGAAGAAACTTTTATATAGAATGAGTGCCTGAAAGTAATTTGATTTTAAAGATTATCAGATTGATATAGTTATTGTTATAAAATTCTTTTATATATTTATTGAATAAATTAATTATTTTAAAATCAAAAATATCATAAAATTGATTAAGCCTCTTAAGTAAAAGAAGCCTTTACAAATTATATAGAATTTGTTTATAATGAAGATTTTTTACATTATCTTAAACAACTTCTCAGATTAATATTGTTAATAATTAAGTTCTTTACAAAATATATTGATAAGTTGTTTTGTTATATTATTATTATTATTAAATGCTAATGTAGACCTTGCTTAGCAAACTTTATTAAGATTAATATTTACATATATTCATATTATAACATTAATTGTTTTTACATATGCTAAATTATATGAGAATTACTTCACATATTGGTTGTTGCTATTAACTTTTCCTAATAAATAAAGATTAATACAAATATACCAAAGCCTCATTTATTGCTAAGTCACTAGTAGTTTAACTAACTGTTTTATTTTATTGAGAGAGAATTAAAGGAAAATAAAGAGGTACACTGGAATAATATCTTTTATATAGCAAATAAAGCTATAAGATATCTGCTTGTTTTATCAAAAATAAATTCTTTTATATCACCTGTAGCTAAACTAACTATTTAATTTCTTACCTGCCTAAATAATACTCAAAAATGTTCAAGGTAGACTTATAACTGGTTCTTACTATCTAAACAGTAGCTTATATAACTTTGTATAAAGCAAACTTTATTGTCAGATGTCTTCTCAAGATAAGTATCACTAGATCAGTTTATTACTGGATTGGAATAAGACTAGAGCAGAAATTTGTAGAAGACACCAAATATTAGAAGAGCAATTACCAAACCTGCTTGTCAAAAACAGACACTTCATATATCTTGTAACTTTTGACAATTATTATAACATCAATCAGATGATCATCGCATTACAATATTTTTTCTGAAAATCACAATATTAACACCTATTGAATCAGTTTATAAAACAATTTCTTATAAGAAATAGCACTTTTATAGATTATATCACTAGATACTATATTAATTCTATTCAATCACCCTTATATAGGATTAAACTGATATCTTATTATTTAACTTATAAAGTATTAACCACTATACTATAGATCTATAGATATATTATTCTATTATATATAATTATTGGTTCTGGATTTAACTTAAATTAGATAAAATCAAACAAAAATAAATTTTTGTGCTACCAGTATTTGATTCTTAAGATTAAAGCAATAAAATTAATTTTGTTTACTTTTTATAAAAGTTTGAAAAGGTTTAAATTATACTTCTATTGTTTATAATTTCTATAATTATAAAAAAATATTTAGATAATATAGATAATTTGAAATATATTGTCAATTAGAAATTCCAGATTAATTATTATAATTTTAATGTTGTTAATATAAAAGTTTTGTTTGATATAAATTGGCAAATATCTTAAAGTTAGATTACATTTTTAATATATCTTATAAAATTATATTTTTATTAATCTCGGTATTTTAAAAATAAATCTAGATAATTTCTCTTATAGTAGCTTCAAAAAAAAAAACTCTTTTCTATTTATATTACATTTCTTAAAAAAAATTTTATAAGAAAACTTTTGAAAAAAATCAATAAGAAATTAGGTTTTCTTTAATAAAAACTATCAAAACATGATAATAATATCTGTAGAGATAAGTTTTTTCTACAGGTTAGTCTTTAAATACTCTAGGCCAGCAGACCAGCTTGCTTCGATACAAGAATTTTTTCAAAATAGATAAAAAGAACTTCTTCAGAGTGTTTTAGCAACAGCTAGCTCTTTAAAAAAAAAAAAAAACTTGATACTTCAAAAAAGAGAGATGTCAAGGGAACAAAAAACCAGTCAAGTCAGTAAAAAAACAATCTGTATCCAAATAACCTCCACCTACAAAGATAAATAAATGTATTGAATGTAATAAAGACTTCACTGGTCACAATGCATAAAAGAAACATTTCAATATAACTTATAAATCAGGATTTATGAAGATTGAAACATCATGCAAAAAAGCAAAAAGAAAAGCAAATGCTCTTGATAGTATAGTATTTGTTACAAAAATGTTAGGCATTAAAAGAAAATTGAGAAAATACATTCTTGCGACTCTCAATAATATTGACAAATCAGAGGTCAAGAGATTAATCAAGGCAACTGGTAACAAATCCAGCAACTACTGAATTAATTTCTAAAACCACGGTGGATTTGTGAATATAAATAACTATTCACCATCCAATGGCTCTTTTGGTTTAAGTGAACGAGGGTATATAACAATTCTCAAACTATTCACAAGACTAATTAATGATCTTCTTAAGAGTGATCTGGATTCAGCAATAGATAATATTGAATTTTACAAAAAATACAATTCTGTTCTGAAAAAGGATGATTCACACTTTTAATCTTTCCAAATTTGATAAGAACAGGTTATCCAGCTGAAGTCCATAACCATAGTGTTGGACTGGAAAATGGCAAGTCAGTTGCTTCACCAGTCCAAAGGTAGGATCATTAAAGGTACATTGAGGCATATAAGATTGATTTAGCCAGGGCTTTAATTATTAACAAGCTTTTCTCTCTTCTTTTCTGATACCATGTGACTTTTATAAGGCTAACATCACACTAAGGCTCTAACAATAATAAAGAAAGACAAAAATGAGTTAATAAAAGAGTTCTAGAAAAAAAAAACTATTTTGCAAATATACTGTTCCAATAATCATGATGTTGTTACAATCTCTATTACAATTACAATCATTATAGCTCTAAAAATCAAATAAAAAAAAAATCAAGACTAAAAGGCTTTATAGTTGGATCTAGAAAAAAAAATAAATAAAAAATAAATAAAATGAAATAATACTTATCTGTCCATTCCAAGGGATGTTAAGCTTGCAGAAAGAAGTATCTATCCCTCAAAAATCATCCTGTTATAATTATAATTACAATCAGAATCATTATTATACCTGCAAAAAAAGCTCAAATCTAAGAAAAAAAAAATAAACAAATTCACCTTACAATATAATTGCACTTAAAACAATACAAAAACTTACTGATGAATGATAGTCCTAATAGCTATAATAATATTATGATTCCAATTATAATTGTGTCCTTAGAAAAGCTCTAGAAAAAAAAAAGAAAAAGAAAAGAAAGAATAAAATAAAAATATTGAAAGCTTACTGATATAACAGTTCTGATATTAAGAATCAGGATACAATTATAATTATAATCATAATTATAGTCTCAAAAATTACAATGCCATGTGAGAAAAAAAATATAATAAAAAAATAATTTAAAAAAGAATAATATAGGCAAAAAA